ATCAAGGAGTGCTATGCCCTAGCAGGGGTACCGGCCCCACCCACTAGAGCGCACTCCACAAGAGCTGTGGCAGCCTCCACCACGTGGCACAGGTTCCCAGCCTGGAAATCTGCAGAGCCGTGACATGGTCCTCTGTCCATACCTTCGCCAATCACTATGCACTAATGCATCAAGCCAGGGAAGACACCGCCCTGGGCAGGGCGGTCCCCCACTCCTCTATAGCTTCAACATCCAACCTTCCTCCATAGGTTCTGCTTTGGAGTCACCTAATTGGAATGCACATGAGCAATCACTCAAAGAAGAAAGAATGGTTACTTACCTCGTAACTGTGATTCTTCAAGATGTGTTATTCAAGTCCATTCCAAATCCCCGCCTGCCGCCCTTTGTCCGGAATATTCCTCTAAGGAGGAACTGAGCCAGCAGGGGTATATATGGGCCAATATACCAGCGCCACTCCAGGGGGCTCCCCGCTGGCCCTAAAGGTACTGCTGAGGGAAAAACTTCCGACGATGCGTGCATACTGCGCCCACACACCTAATTGGAATAGACATGAGCAACACCTCTCGAAGAATCACAATTACGAGGTAAGTAACTGTTCTTTTTGACCATTGTTTGATAGGCCTCAGACCTCATACCAGCTTGTGCTACATGGACTTTTGTTTCAGGCCTTCATCTTACTACAGTTGGCTATTGGGAAGCAACTCTGAGACAGAGACTAACTCTGAAGCAACTTTTGGGAGAGAGTTAGACACATTCTAATCCCTGGGGCTCCTGCATGTGAACAAGTCTATGTTAATACTCACATGAAGGACAGAATTTACAGGAGCAATCCTGGACTCGGTACGGGCAAGGATCAGTCTTCTAGACTCCAGGTTTCAGTCCATAGTGAACGTCATTCAGATCCTCAGACGGTAGCCCACCACCATGGCAAGGGTATACTTCAGTATTCTAGCCCATATGGTATCCTACTCCTTCACATTCAGACATGCCTGGCTTGCCTCAGTCGCAATGGTGGATGGATCCTCATGTAGTTTGTGAAGGAGTATGGATGTTAAATATTGGTTAATTAAATAGTTGATTAACCTCATGAATTCTTATTGTTTACTCGACTATTCTGTAGGCCCCGGGGGTGGGGCTGGCAGCCACTGTGCTTTGGCCCCACTCCAAAGGATCTCCCTGCCCCTCCGAGCTGCTGCCTCTGTATCAGAAGCAGCTATGCGAGGTGCCAGGCGGGAGCTGGTCCGTGAGGGGAGCCAGTTTAAAAAACAGTTCTCCTTGCAGACCAGCTGCCTGTCCTGTGGCCAGGCTGAGCTTCCAGACTCTGCATGAGCTGGAACTGAGTTGGGCTGCCTGTCCCCCTGGCACCTAATACACTTTAAATGCAGAGCTGCAGTCGGGGTAGGTCCCGGACCTGGTGTGAGCCAGGACTGAGCTGGGCTGCTGGCCAGCCTGCTAAAAAATTACTGTTGGGGGGGAAAATGCGTATAGTCTATAGCATTAACCCATAAGCTTTTGCTTATTGGTTAATCCGTTACTTGACTACACTATTACATCCCTACAAAGGAGTTTCTTGCAACCTCTTGTTTCTCTCTCTGATGTAGTGACAATTGCTTTGGATCTGGGTTGGAGGGACAACTTCTGGGGCAACTTCAGACACAAATGGAAATCCAGCTCTACATTAACATGAAGGAGCTAAGGGCAGTGAGAGTAATCTTCCAAACCTGCTGCTCTCAAATGCAGAATCTGTGTGACAGTGTGGGCCGATAGAACCGCCACCATGTTTTATATAAACAAACATGGTGGAGCACAGTCATTGGCCCTCTGCCAGAAAGCCCTGCAGCTCTGGGACTTCTGTGTTAGCCCACTCCGCCCACTTGGAGACCTGTTATCTCCCAAGCCCCTAAAACGGCCTGGCAAAAAGCCACAGCAGGACCTTCCCCATCCCAAGTGGCCGTTCAGAGCAACTGTCATTCATTTAATTTTCCTAAAGCATGGGTTTTTTCAGATACAGCTGTTTGCCATCAGGAGCAAAAGGAAATGCCAGACCAGTGTTCGCTGTAAGTTGTGTGCTTGTGTAACTGCTCAGGAGAAATTTGAATGCCACCTAGCCGATTAGCACAGTGCCCAAAGCTAGGTTTTTGGTTTCTACTGGTGGGCACATACACACATGCTTCAATGCACATAAAAAAAATTCTGCACATGGATGTAAAAAATTAGAGGGAACATTGTGCCAGGATTTCTGTTCTTTCCAGAACCACAGACTGGGCTCTATTGCAGATGCAATCACGATTCCAAAGGGTAGTTGCTTAATGTATGCTTTTCCTCTGATGCCATTCATCCACAAATTCCTGCTAAAAGTCCACAGGAACTGGGAGAGAGTGATCTTGATGGACATCGAATGGCCATGTTAGCATTAGTACGCCATGCTGTTGGATCTGTCAGTGGATACCCCAAAAGCCAGCCCTACCAGAGTATTCAGACCTGATCTCCCAGGATCACAGCTGTCTACTGCACCTGGACCCCCAGTCCCTTCACCTCACAGCCTACAAGCAACTGCATGGTTAAATGTTTCAGAGCTGCAATGTTCCTGATCAATGAGAGATGTACTTATTGGTAGTAGAAAACTTTCCACCAGGACCACATACCTTGGAAAGTGAAAGAGGTTCTACTATTGGTGCACACAGCAATTGCTGCCTCAGCTCTGAAGCACCAATACCACTCATTCTGGAATACGTGCTCCATTTAAGGAGTCAGGGTCTGGCACCATTGTCCATCTTGTGGCCATCTCAATATTCTATCCTGAACAGTTGGGCCACTCAGTATTTAACAACCCCATGAGGGAATGTTTCCTTAAGGCTTAGATGGGCTGTACCCATATTAATGCACACCTATACCCTCCTGGGATCTAAGCTTAATCCTCACCAAACTTATGGGTGCATCCTTTGAGCCCTTGGCCACATGCTTCCTCCTATATCTCTCCTGGAAAGTGGCATTCGTGGGAGCCATTACATCTTTCAGAAGAGTTGGAAGCTCTAACATCTGAACCTCCCTATGTTGTCTTCCAAAAAGACAAGGTACAGCTCAGGCCATGTCTGGCTTTCCTGACCACAGTAGTATCATAGTTCCACTTGGGGCAGAATATTTTCCTACCATTTTTCTACCCAAACCCCCACACCTAGTGCATGTCAGCAGGGTGATACGCCCATCCTGGATGTTCAGATAGTGTTTGCATTCTACATTGAGTGCGTGAAGCCACTCTGGACATCAGCCCAGCTCTTCGTGTCAGTAGCAGACTGGATAAAAGATCTTCCAGTCTCATCACAGCACCTCTCACCCTGGATATCACACTGCATCCATATCTGATATGAGCTAGCTAAGATCCTGGCATTTACAGCACAGTCAGCGAGAGCACAGACCTCATCAACCATGTTTCTGGCCCAAGCCCTAGTCCAGGAGATCTGGAAGAGTGGCAACCTGATCTTTAGTGCATATGTTCACCAGTCACTATGCCATCAGCCAACTGGCCAGAGATGATGCAGTGGCTGGTAGAACAATTCTCCAATCAGTAATTCCTTAACTCCGACCCCACCTCCAGAGTGGAACAGCATAGGAGTCACCCGATTGGAATTGACGTGAACAAGTACTCAAAGATGGGTACTCACCTTCTTGTAACTGTTGTTCTTACTGGGATGTGTTGTTTACATCTCTTTCCATCCTCCTTCCTCTCTGTCAGAGTAGCTGGAAAGAAGGAACCAAAGGGGGAGTCAGGTCTGCAGGGGCATATGTAGAGCACCATAAGGGTGCCACTTGGAGGCACCACAGCCAATCCGATGTAAGATGCTAAAGGAAAAGTTTTTGACGTTCGTGCATGCACACCTGATTGGAATGGACGTGAACAACATATCTTGAAGAATAGTAGTTACAAGAAGGTAACTGTCTTTTTTGTTTGTTTGTTTTTTGAATTGTGTTTGCAGTTTTGGCCTTCACGACATCCTCTAGCAAAGCTTTCCACAGGCTGGCTTTGTCTTGTGTGCAGAAATAATTCCTTTCATTTGTCCATCTCTTTGAAGCTTGTTCACAAGTTAAAAAGCCTGTTTAGGAGAATCTTAAACCATAAAAATGGCCACACTGAGTCAGACCAATGGTCCATCTAGCTCAGTAACCTGTCTTCAACCAATGTTCAATGTCAAATACATCAGAGGAAATGAACAGAGCAGGGCAATTATCAAGTGAGCAGATATTTTTAGAGAACTATCTACAGTGATTCTGTAATGTCTTTCTTGAGTGACAATAGCTAATTTATACCCCATTGTTTTATTGTATAGTTGATATGTTTCCCAGTGCACATTATTTTACATGTATTAACATGAAATTTTGTCTGCCATTTTGTTGCTCTGTCACCCAGTTTTGTGATATTCCTTTGTATCGCTTTGTCTGCTTTGGACTTAACTATCTTGTAATGTTGTATTTCCTGCAAATGTTGCCACCTCACTGTTTACCTCATTGTCCACATCATTTATGAATATGTTGAACAGAATTGTTCCCAATAAAGATTGCTGTGGGACACCACCTTTCACCTCTTTATCTTTCTTCTTATCCTATGACTATTTCTTTTGCTTAAGAATCTTTGGTGAGAAATTTTGTCAGTCTTTCTGGAAGTGCAGGTACACTCTATCCACTGGATTATCCTTGCCCACATGTGTGTTGACCCTCTCAAAAAATTCTCATATAGTGGTGAGGCATGATTTCCCTTTACAAAATCTCTTGCCCAATAAATCATGTTCATCAGTATGTGAGATAATTCTGTTCTATGCTTCTGGAAACTTCTTAAAGAGTGGTGCCATATTAGCTATCCTCCAGTAATCTGGAACATCCTAAGGTTCCCAACGCTTCCCTAATAACTATGCTTGGACTTTTTATGCTTGATGCAAACTGAATTTTTAAATAGACATGTATATTTGGATAACACACTGTCCATTTTAAAAATACTTTTATTCTAGGAGTACAAGAAACTTTATAAAGAAATAAAAAGACTTAAAGACTTACTAACTCAACGTGGTATTGTGTATGAAAGTAACTCAGGTAAGTTCTTTGTAGAGTTCTGTTTTCTCATTCCTATCTATTTAGAATGTGAATTTCTCTTTTTAAATTACAGACAATGTTAACATTAGGATAAACAAATAATATTGCATTGTATGGGGTCAGTACCCACCATAAAGCATACTGCAGCTAATTTTTGACTGAACAGATCCTTGATTGTGAGAACTTTGTGTAAAAATATATGTAGATTGTTATCCGTGTCAACTATACATTGGAACTTTAGCTGCTACTTATACTTCTATTGTGGTATACTTTGGGCTTCAATCAGGGCTGGATTAAGGAAGGGGCTAGCCGGGCAGCTGCCCGGGACGCCAACCTATGGGGGGTGCCTGATGGCAGCTGTAAGGGGCGTCATGCAGCCGGGCGCATAGCACCCCTTAGAGCTGCCATCAGGCACCGCGCGCCCGGGGCCTATGTGGCACCCCTTAGAGCTGCAATGATGCGCCTTGCACCCGATTGCAGCTGTAAGGTGTGCAGCATGCCGGGGCCGCGCATGTGCTATGCGCCCAGGGGCGGAGCCGCACATGCATTGCATGCCCGCTGCCCAGGGCAAAGGAATGGCTCGAGCCAGCCCTGGCTTCAATCCCTACTTCTTAGCATAAGGATGAAAAATCTGTGCCCACAGTATTTAGGACTGAGGGAATGTCTTCACTATGCGCTAGATGGATGGGGCAGTGATCAATCCAGTGGGGTCAATTTGTCACGTCTAATATAGCTGCGATAAATTGACTGACATTGACTTTGGTACTTCACCAGAAAAAAAAGAGTGAGAGGAGTTGATGGGAGAGTTTTTCACCCATGGTGTGGACTCTGTGATAAGTAGATCTAAGCTATGTTGTTTGGAGTTACGCTACTAATGTGTAACTCCTATTGTGTCGCTTAGATCGACCTGTCTCCATAATATTGACCTGTCCTAATACAGTAGACTTCCGATAATCTGGCACCCTTGAGACCCAGGTGGTGCCGGATTATCAGAAATGCCGGACTATCAGGAGGTACTCTGGCAGGGGCGGGTCTCATCGGAGGGGAAGCAGGCGAGGGGGCGGGGATGTCCCAAACCCTCCCTCCTGCTGCAGGGAGGCAGAGCCTGCGAGTGGTGGGAGAGGAGAGGCGGTGACAGGCAGGCAGCCGCATTCAGGACATTCTGGTCAGTTACAGTCATTCCGGCTGGATCCACAGACAACACGCAGTTAATGTAACTTTCCTCTCTACTGCCGGAAGGAGGGGGGGGCAGGGGAAGGTAGGGGTCGGTGGGAGAGGGACCCCTGCCCCCCCCGTCCTCCCCCCTCCCAGCAGTAGAG